ATGCATGCGTCCCAGAAGCGATTTCATTGCGCAGACTCCACCCTTTTATTGCGAACCTTTAGATGGGCGGTAATTATAGTTCGAGAGTGGAGGAGATATGCGGCAGCGCTCCCATATCTACATTGCTATAGTCCATGCTGCTCTGGTCGTTTATTAACCCTGAAAAGGGGGCCGCTACTAAAACAGCGTGACCCTTAAAACTGCAGTACCAAAGAAAAAAACTTCGCAGTAAAGGTCGTATGCTTTTCAATAGTTCTGACGGTTTTTTTGAAGTTTTAGGTGTTGGATTTGTTTTCTCAGATTAATGCGCCTGCCTGAAAAAAAGTGGTTTCAGAGAGAAATACTTAAAGTCGCTGTCGGGGCAGGAAGGTGAATAGGCGGTGAAGGCTTAAAGAGTATAGGACTTTGAAAGGCAATGAAGTAGGAGAAAAAGAAAGGAAGCTTGACCCTCTTGATAAGCTTAGTGAGAACAAATCATGGCCGTCATGCAGGTCGCTTGAAACCTGAAGAGGTCTAGGTTTTGTGATGGCTGGCAGAACGGCTTCATTGCATCTAGAAGGATCAAGGGAACGTTGATGAATCGCTTTCGAGAAAGCGGCCGGATTCTACTCCCGTTCACAGTCGTAGTGGCAGTTGAATTTGATATGGCCTATGCAATGACTTGGTCAACATATAAATATTTTGTACACCAGGTTGAATCGGGTACCAGCTAACCAAAGCTAGACGGTGCGGAAGCTTGATGGGGCGCGCTGATCTAGGATTTGACCACAAAAAGCGTGTGTGTTGACTGTGGTAAGACTGCGTTTATCCTGCGTCAGCTTACGACGGCATCTTGGGCATTGCGAGTGTACGCGAGCGCCAGCGACAAGGAATGTATAGGTATCGATCCAGCGTATGCCAACGTCCACTAGAAGTGGAGAGTACGAGGAGGTAGGAGAGTAGCAGACTGTTGGATTAGGCGTCATGTGGTTGCGGCGTGTGCAACAGCACCGTATAACTGCACTACATCGTACGTTGAGATTGCATTCTCGGTCTTTAGATCATTTGTTACGGTGCGATTCGCACATCTTGCATTTCGCGCACGTCTACCATCCCAAAGCACCATCCTTCACTTTCCCCGAAAAATAACCCCCCCCTTACCTCCTCGCGCGTGCGTGCACTATGTTGACATATACGAATCACTAATACTTTCCTGACCGGCGCTAACAACTTATGGGGCGCTATCGTACCCAGCGCTGTCCGTACGCTGCAAAGTATAAACTTCAGCCTACTACACTGTTACCAACCACTATCACCTTCGTCGGCTCCTCTCCTCCAAATTTCATTAATTAGGTTACAAGTTTGTATGCTTGGATAAGTTCCTTCTTGTTTGCTTGTCGTTCGAGTTTCTTTTTGCTGGAGCCTTATAAATCGTTCAGTATGATTGCCTGATGACTAAAGAAGAGCTGAGCCGTCTTGCTGAGCACAAATACTCTGCTATAGACACGAGTTGGTTGGATGAATTTTGTATGAAATACTATTGGGACTGGGTAGTGAATTTCTATCCGCTGTGGCTGGCTCCCAATTTGTTAACATTGATTGGTAAGTTCTTTTTGTTATTGCATTCATTTACCACGGCGTAGTCATGTGTACTTGAAGTATACTGTTGTATTTGTCAGGGCTGATAGTGAACATTGCCAACGTCTCCTTGTTATCTAGCTACTGCCCTACTGCACGCGAATCTGCTCCTTCATGGGCGTATGCTTCGGCGGCGTTGGGCTTGTTTGTATACCAAACCCTCGATGCTACTGGTTAGTTCTTTACATGTGTAATATTACATACATATGTAGTAATGTGAATCCACACTAATAACCGGTTGGGAAGGACAGGACATTCGTGTTGGATTGACGGTTGTACAAGCTCAAGAAGTGTAGTGAAAGCGAACCTTTGAATGAGCCGCCAATTCGAGTTCAGTTCGAAATCGGGAAGGCGTTGATTCCCGTGCTTGAAGTCACTCCCACGCTCAAGCATTTCATAGGCGTCCTTCCTTGTTCAAGTGCTCTGGTGCGCAGTCATTAAGTCTCTTATCCCACTTTCGCGGCTCCACAGTAAGTAACGAAGGCGCTGCGGCCCTCATAGTGGCAGTTTTGACGCCTCCCTAGTTGTCCCGCCCACCAAAACTCAAAGGCTATTTCTGTCACGAGTACTTTTCAGATGGTGTTAACGTTGGTTGACGCGAAGGAACGATTAGTGGTCAGTGGCAGCAAGATTTCACTCTGTTAGCATAAAACGACCACGTCCGGAGAACTTGTACTTTGAAGCTGCCAGAGGTCTTCAATAAGGGTGCTCTCCATTTTTTTTGCTTGTTCTTTGCATGGAGAGTCACTTTTTGACTGTAGGTTTCTAATTGAACGCCCCTATCCACAACGTGCAATCGCGGGGTTTGCCTTTAACACATGCATCTTTTTGCGTAACCCGGCGAGAGAGAGAGCATATTGAACCCTACTAAAGAATTTAATGGGGAGGTGATTCACCTTGAAGGAATAGGAATTCTGCAGGCCTTAGTGAGATTCGCCGGGGATTCCGTCCACTGAGCTATGCAAATACTTATCTGAACTAATATACTTATCTGAACTAATATTGTTACTTCGTCTATCGCACGAAGATCATTTCAGAGTAAAGTAATTCTATAAAGGTTTCGTTCGTTCCATAAAGGCCCTTCTTTCAATTAGGAACCGTTACAACGACGCTATTTTTGCAATAATTTGGTTGTAATAACTACCAGACCTTTTCCAATAATAAGATTCAGAATGGAATGGTGAAATTCATTGCATCCTACGCTCCCTGTACTTCCTCAGTTCATGCTCTATATACTTCCTATACTTCCTGAGTTTTGCTCTTTTACCTTGCCGTCTTGTTCGACGTGCATTGCGACGTTGTTTTTTTTTCTCATCCTCTGTTCCCCCAGCAGCTGCAGCACTCTCTTTCGGAGCTAGTTTTATGCGCCCTCTGCTTGTAACCACCTCTTGCCGTAATCCCTTTGCCTGCTAGCGGACCGACTGACTGACATATGAAGCCGTGGGATGGTGCGATCACAATCGCACCCTCATGAGAAGTTGATACCGCAATCTTACTGCTTCCCAACCTTGCCATTATCACGCCTGCATGTCACCGCATCTGCGGCTGCCACCGCAACTTCCCTATCCTTACTGCACCCTCCCCCAATGCTTGGCGCCAACCGCAAGAAGAGCATCTTCAGATTTGAATAGGAATGCACACAGAGGGTGTCTTATACTTAGTTTTTATCCTGTGTTGCGACGGCACCAGGAACAGTGTAATGCTAAATCTCTAACGAAAGCTCTAACGGTCACCCTGTTTTGTTGGCAGTCATTTTCTCCACTCTTCCCTTACCGCATCGAAGCATTCTGGAGAGGGGCAGACAAGCAAACTGACCAACTGACAGACTTGCGGCTCGACACATCAGGTCACAAGTTTGCTGGTTTGCAAAATAGAGGGGGGGGGTGGGGAGAAAAGATGTACTCCTTGAAGTAGCAGACAAAACCTATCTGAAGGGCTTCGTTATGACTCTGTAACTGTACATTTCATTTCATTACTTTTTTTTGAAGGCAGCATTAAATATGGCAAAATTTGAAAACTCACCAAAGTTTCTGATCCTGACGGTGTTTGATCGTGTCGATCTTTCAACTTCATCCGTATAACCAGTTAATTCCAGATGGCAAGCAAGCTAGACGTACAGGTGCAGCATCGCCTCTGGGCGAACTGTTCGATCATGGCTGTGATTCGATATCACAGGTACGATATTCCTAATGCATAACCCAGGTTAGAAAGATATTGAAATCAGTTTCTTTCCGACTCTGACTTTTGAGGGTCTCTAGACTCCGATGTCAAATGTCAGGTGACAGTTGTCACTTCTTGGTCTTTAAATTACCGGAGAATGTTTTCTGAAATGCTTCAGCTTTCATGGAAGTCTGTAAATATTCTAAACAGTAGCCGTCCTTTACATGTATCTGGTCGTTAGAATGTAGGCAAATGGGATTGGTCTGGTAATCTCTTCCCCTTCTAATGGAATTGCAAGTTTTTGATCAAATGCTGGATGCATAAGTAT